CAAATTCAAAGAATATTTTTTTTAAAAATTCTAACATTTATTGAGTGCTTACTATGAACCACAGGCATTATATGATTAATTCTTAATAATAATTCTAGGTGAGAGCTACTATTTTTATTTCCAGTTTACAGATGAAGGGATGGAGGCCCAGAAGCCTAAATAACCAGTGAAATGGCAGATCCTGGATTTAAAATCAGGCAGTGCTCCAAACTAGCTTGCTTCCAAAATGTAAAGTGTAAACGCCTGATGATCTTTCTGGTTTCCCCAACCAAGGTCTGACATGGAGGCTAAAGAGAATTGGCAGGAGATAGAGAAGAATACCTGGAGGGGTTGTTCTTTTTTCAAATCAGCGTTTAATAGGCTCCTTAAAATTGGCGGACTCGTGTATCACTGACAAAATGTCTACTTCCCTGTAACATCAAAGAGTAACTGTCATTTTTTTATGAGTAGAAGTTGATACAAGCAGGAAACAACCCACACAGTTTGCCACCTTTTCTCTTGTGAAGTTAATTGATTTCTGCTAGTTCAAATTTTATGTCTAAAATCAAGTTTCCAATAAGAAACCATGTATACTTTCTCTAAAGTGAATTGCAGAGACCAGGCGCTACACAGGGATTGAAGCAAATATTTGAACATGTTCCTATCCTGCATACTTTTTTCTCTATAAATTATGTCAGATGCATCTTTGCAACTATGGCAGGTATAAGGCCTATAGTCATAACAATGGCCAAAATGCATCAACTATGTGTACTTGATCATTTTTCTCTTTCCTGGTATCACTTGCATTTTATATGGTTTGAAACTGAAAAACAGGGATGTTAAATGATTTGCATAAAGTGCGTCTATGCAAATACTAAGCAGAGAAATAAAACTATAAGCTCAACACTGTGAATCATTACAATATACAAGGGGAAGACATGTGCTTAGAGACCATGTATTGGCCAGGCCATCCGTGGGCATAATCAATACCCTGAAAATGAGGACAGAGTAGAACTGGAGAACAGTGCAGTGAAGCGATGATGACACCTTCCATTAATGAGTCAATGACCAGGAAATCAATACATGAGGACGAAGGCTAGTACAATTCCCTCTGTGGAACAGTTTTTGGATTGTTTTTGCATAATTTTGTTTTTCTAACAAAAGGAAGAGGGGCGATGTGAGAATAATCTGGGAACGCAGGGAGGCTGTTGGTCACCAGTGAGAGTTCTTTAATTTTCACTCAAAATCACTAACATGATGAGCGCTAGTGTAGTTGTTATTCGAGAAATGGGTTCAGGAAATCAGCTGGCGTAGAGTATTTTAAGAGAGGAGATGGAAATGGTCTCTGAAGATAGCGGTGGGATTTCTGTGGGGACATTAGCAAGTGATCGACCCTTTTACAAGTCGTTTCCTTTGCGTGCTCCACGTCCAATGTGTTGACCATTTCTTCTTTGCCACATCAGACAAAGCAAGCATTGAAATCCAGCTGACAATCATGCATGTCGTATGTTTTCATCTTTGCCAGTACTACTCTCTTCTTTTTCACCCAAGGATAGCTTTTAAAACTTTTCACTAAAACTGGGCTTTTTCTCTGGTATAATATAGAAGAGGAAAGATGAATAGAAGGGAAAGCTTGTTATTTTAGATAGAGCTGAACAATTGAGATGGGGAGGCGAGGACCAAACTGGAAGGATATAAAAAATAGAAAAAGAGATGCCTGCATTTGAAACTATGGGCCCTGTCCCTGTAGATAGTCAGGACTCTCGTTTGTGATTCAGACCTGAGGCTCACCAGCAGAGAGATACTGGGCTCAGTCTCCAAGCTCTTCCCTCTGCTTCATTGCCAGCCTGAGCTCTCTTATCCATGGTTACCCTAATAGAGTCTCCCTTTAACCTCTTACCTGCCCTACCTTGCTTTGGACACTGTCTCTTCACCTATGCCCTTCCTTACTGCCTTTTAAATTTGGAAATAAAGCAAACAACATGATCTAGAACTTACTGGTTTCAGAAGTAACACCTCCTTCACCACAGAGGAGATAAACACAGAATTTAAGACTAATTTTTTTTTTCCAAGGTAAAATGCCTTAGCTCTTGCAGACTGGGTATATGCTATGGTTCTTTCACTGTTGATAATAACTCTCCATTTTCTTTATGTAACTATTTGTCATCCTTGGCTATATTTCCTGAGCCTGCTCCCTTCTCCTACACCATTCAGCCGTAGAATCAAAACTTACCTGAAAAATCACCAGGAAATATTGGGATTTTTAATACCATCACTGTGATACAATGTTTCTAAGGGATAACGAAATTCATGGAACCAGGGACTGGATGAATTGAGTGGAGATTTGAAAGCAATGCAGAATAGGAAAAGAAATAGAATATTAACCTGGTAAAAAGAAGATTTGTGCTTTTTAAAAAACATTTATCATTAGATTACACATGCATTTTTAAAATTTTATAAATCCTGTCATGCTATCTTAGATGAACAAAGAATTTCTGTTTTGCTTATACCTGTATCCTTCAAAAATCAAACATCTTAAAAAATGAACAAAACACTCTCAAAATCCTCCCAAAACTAACCAAAACCAAAACAAACATATTTCTCCAAGAAGTGGTTGTTACACTGTCAGAAATCCCGCCAAACTCCATCAGTGCAATAGATGTACATCTTGACTTTTTTTTTTTTCCTTTGCTTTATGTCTTTAATATCATCATGAATTCAGTCTGATGCGTTGGCATTACCTGCTGGCCCATTCGGTCTTCACATTTGGATGGGTCTGAACTTACCAAGGTGACGTGTGTGACTTTTAAAATGGAAATTTTAATGCGTCATTCTTAAAACCCAGCAACCAATTAGCAGAGACACCGTCTCCTTAACAAAGAAGCAGGTTCTGTAACCAGTCCCACACCCTTTCGCAGGTTTCCTAGCCTGGCTTGGGCTCCTCCAGCATCATCGTTGACTATCTGTAGCATACAGGGATGAAGGCAGCATCAAAGGCCCTTGCTGTGCTGTTTTCCAGTAACCCCATGAGGCCCAAGCACTTCAAAGTGGGCTCACACCCACAGAAAATCAGTTAAAACCTAGAAAATGTCAAACATCTTTTCGTAGTTTCCTTTCACACACAAATGGAATAATGCATTATAAGTAACGAAGACCCCCTTAAAAAGCAAAACAAAACAAGACAAAACAAAAAGCACTTTCTTTTAAAAAGCAACCATCTCCCTAGGATACCATTTTCATATTAAATGAAGATGCAGAGAGTAAAAGAGTAAAGTGTCCTTCCCAACTCCCACGTATATTGGAAATAAAACCTCCAAAAAATGTGAATGCGCCACCATAGCAAACACCCAACTCATAAGTCATCGTTTGTGGGGAAATGAAGATTAAAGCACTATGGTTCTGGTAATTCTGAAAAAGCACACGAACAGCAGTAGGACAGTTTTGGAGGGCAGGAATTTATTTTTTCATGATAAATGTGCTTCGGTCCTAAGTATCTTCTGACTTCTACCATTACAGACCTAGGGACATGCCTGCTTTACTTCAAGTGCAATAAATGGGTAAAAAAAGTTGTGAAAATATGTGGCAGCTCCAACAAATTCTTTCAATAGCCTGTTGGGTGTCTGGGGGTATCCATATATCAGACGTCTTTGTTCTTAGTCTACAAGGAAAATTGCCAAGCACACTCCAGAGCTCCAGGCTTCAGAAGGTGCTGAAGAGAGCCTTCCTGATTACCTAACTTCCCCAATTTGGCTCACAATGAAAGGGAGTAAAATTACGTCCATGCCCTTCGGTTGCTGCTCCCACTGCAACAGACCTTATCTAATACTTTATTACACCCCCCAAACAAAGTATATTCTAAAGAAAGGATTCACAGCTCTGGTCTCTGACAGAATAGTCTCTTTGAATTCTTTTGTCAATTTCATAGATTTCTAACAACCAGGGGATTGTTTTTTAAATCTGATTTTTATGCCAGCAGCACAATTTCCTCCTGTGTAAGTAGGACAGATTCATCCCAGAAAACAACAATGGATGCCTCCCTGCTTAACTTGAGCATGACAGATTACGCTTCTAGCCGACCACTAAATGCCACCTCCCCACTCAGAGAGGCAGGCGTGGGGGCATCGGCTGCATTTGTGCCTTGAACTGCCAGCTGATGAGCTGATGCTGTTAGAGGTGGCCAAGAAGCCCTGACGGAGCTGGCTCTGTGAAGACTCGACAGAGGACTGGCAGGGCAGCGGTGACATGCCTCAGTGCGGGTGCTTCCAGGCATATTCCTGGCCTCCACATTGCACCCGCCTCAGGAAAGTTGCCTTATCTAATGCCTGCCAGAGAGCAGGCACTTTGCACATGTTTGTGAATATGAAAGAGAAAAATGAGGAGGGAAAAATACGAGTTTAGAGGGAAAGCACAGAGACCTTCCATGTAGACACAGATGCCTCTCGGATCTTAGCAGATCTAAAATAAATGCTGTTATTCCTGGCCAAGCAGTTGGGCGATGCTGACTTGAAGAATAGCTACATTTAAAAAAAAAAGTGAAATCAGCAAATGAACAAACTAATAAAACAGGAGGAAGATAAACAGTAGCCAAAATCTGATAAGATTTGATCACTTGTATCAGAAAATGATTTTTTATTAGCAATATGGACCTTAAAATATGCTTCCAAAGGGCATTTGCAGCCTTTTAGGGACTAGCACATTGCATAAAGAAAAGACCTGCATATACCTGCATTCAGAATTATGATCTGAAGATGACTATTACTCACGTTGCTATGAGGGCCGTCTTAAAATGCTATTCAATTGGCTCGTTAGGTATTCCATCTAAAACTATAAAAAAGCAAAGCCGTGCTGGGTTTTCCGCACGTAAACAGACTAAAATCCGTCTGTCAGTGTTAGAAGCCTGAATCAAACAATACAGAAGCATGAATGTACTGTTCTCACATTTGTGTAATTGATGGCTCTTTGGCTTGTTGAAATCTTTCACGACCACATGCGTACGTTTGTCATTTATCCCCTTTTCTCAGGTGCAAAGAAGGCTACCAAGGAGTCCGTTGTGATCAATTTCTGCCGAAAACTGATTCCATCTTATCGGATCCAAGTAGGTCAAGCATTTTTCTTCTTTCTCTAATGCAGTATGTAGGCAGCACTTACTCTGGGCAACGGTTGTTAGCTCAGCTGAAGGCGGTAGTTCGGTCGTTTGTCTCTGAATGATGCCAAGGGTGGAAGCTGGTGACAGGCGTGAACGTTCAGAGCTCTCGTTCAGAGCTAACTCGGTCTATGTCTAGGTCTGGTCTTCTCTCTAGTTGGGACCTGGTGTTCAGATTCAGCTCCGTCGCTGATCTACCCTGAGAACTCCAGCAAACCCTCCTCCCTTAGCTTTCAAACAGACTCCTGCCACCACCCATTATGAAAGTAGGGGAACAGAAACAAAACGGAGCTCATTATTGACCTAACAGAATGTTATAGAAACTACTGTCTCATACTGGGTCGTACCCTTTGCTTGGAATTGCGTTAGTATTAAACCTATTAACTTTTACCGTATTTACTAAATTAAGAAAATAGGAATCTGAAATTACATAAGTTTTCAAACTGTAAAAACCCCATTTTTGGCAACACTGTTTGCATATCACTGGTTCCTGGACTGTTGGAATTTTTTTTTTTTTTAATTCATGAAAGAAGACAATTTGCCACTAAGAAATATTGCTAGTCCTTAGTTTTTTGTTTCTATATAAAGTAAAAGTAACTTTTGGTACCAATCTGACCACTTCCAGTCAGATGTGAATTTTTTGCTTTATTTGTAAATAATCTCCTGCTCTTTCAATGACCACTACAATTGAATCACCACTGTGGAAAGGAGATTTTTATCCAATCAGCAGTTTAGTTAGGATCATGATGGGCATTTCCAAATCACAAAGGCCATGTTATGATTTTCTAAATACCAAACATGCATAAGACAGACTTCAACAAAATATTGTATATTGACAACAGACAGAAATTATCCTGTTGTGAGGGAACACACCGCTGTGTAATGAACACGTCCAACCCTCTTTCAACATCTTCTCAAAATGCGTATTTTCTCCTTTCCCCACCCCCTGAACACAGATGCTGAATTTCTACCTGCATTGCCTTAGGAAATACAAAGTTTTGTGTTTTTTTTTTTTTAAGGAAAAGTTTTGTTTAATTTCATTTAATTGTGATTTATCTTGGCAAGACAAGCTACGATACAATCTTAACTACTCCTTTCCTTCCAAATGTAACTCTCCTTGAGGAAAGTGAAGGTTTCCTAAAATTTAGCAAGCAAGCTAGTCATGGATTAGCTCCTTCTCTGAAATGTGAGGCATTGGTGTCTAGGAATTACCCTAGTAACAGACAGTTACCAGAATGTGTTAAATTCGTTTCATCTTGCAATTTTGCCTCTTGCTAAGCAGATATCTCAAATGTATGCTTGTGGTTGAGACATGGATTTGGAATATTACAAAGCCCATGGAAGAATGGGCTTGCTAATTTCTTTTCTCTTGTTTCTTTTTTTTTTTTTTTTTTGGCTGATGTACCTAGTTCCCCCTGTATTTTCCCCTCTTCTTTCTTTCTTTTCTATTTCCCTCTGTTCTCCTCTTTCCTTCTATTTTTTTCATTATTTCTTCCCTTTAGTCTTCTTCCTTCCCTTCCCTCCCTCCTCTTCTTGTCTCCTCTTTCCTTCCTCTTTCTTCGTTCACTTCCTCCTTCTTCCTTCCTTTTCCTTGTCATTTATAGCTATAGATTATCTAACAAAAGGATAGAGGGTAAGGTATGGGGGCAGGGCTCGCATATGATACAAAATAGGTAAAATAATCTCTCTTCAGACAATCTAATCAAACCCTTGCCATCCACTTAGATATCATAGTCCATCTCTGCAAAATTGAGGATGAGGCCCACCATTAATTAGGACTGTGCTCCTCAAAGAAAGCTGATCTCATAATCACAGTCACTAGCCTGAAAACCTAGATCTTCTATGCATAAAAATATTTATTGCAGTAATATTTCTAATGGTGAAAAAATGGACACATGCTGAAAACCAACAGCAAAACTATGTTTAAGTAAAATATCATATGACATATCTATAATATTCTATTGAATCATCTTAAAATGATGGGGTGCCAATAAAATAGTAGGGGTGCCAGGGTGGCTCAGTTGTTAAGTCTCTGCCTTCAGCTCAGGTCATGACCCCAGGGTCCTGGGATTGAACCCAGCATCAGGCTCCCTGCTTAGCGGGAAGCCTGCTTCTCTCTCTCCCTGCTTGCGTTCCTTCTCTTGCTGTCTCTCCCTCTCTGTCAAATAAACAAATAAATCTTTAAAAAAAAAAAAATTGTAGGAAACATTCCTATTGGGTGAAACAGCAACATAGAAAGGTATTTTCATATAAAATTGCAGTAGGAACATCCTTTGGTCCAATGGTAGAAAAAAATAAAACATATCCTGAAATGCTGAAAGGGAACGTTCAGTGTTTGGATTGTGAAGTATATGGATTTTTCCCCCCTTTTTCTCCTGTTTCCTATAAAATGGCATAAGATTATGTGAGTCAGAGCTCCGGAAAGCCTTGAAATAAAAACTAAAAGATAAAGCACTGAGAAATCAAATGAATGAGTCCTGGAGATGGAGTTCAAATGGGAAAAGCAGGGGTGCCTGGGTGGCTCAGTGGGTTAAGCATCTGCCTTCGGCTCAGGTCATGATCCCGGGGTTCTGAGATGGAGCCCCGAGTCCCTGCTCAGTGGGGAGCCTGCTTCTCCCTCTCCCTCTGCTGGTCCCCCTGCTTGTGCTCTCTCTCTCTTTCTGTCAAATAATAAATAAATAAATCTTTTAAAAATAATAAATTAAAATAAATGAGGAAAGCATGGGGCACCTGGGTGGCTCAGTGGGTTAAGCCTCTGCCTTCGGCTCGGGTCTCAACCTCAGGGTCCTAGGATTGAGCCCTGCATCATGCTCTCTGCTCAGCAGGGAGCCTGCTTCCTCCTCTTTCTCTGCCTGCCTCTCTGCCTACTTGTGATCTCTTTGTCAAATAAATAAATAAAACCTTAAAAAAATAAATTAAAAAATTTAAAAAAATAAAATAAATGAGGAAAGCATAATAGCAACACTTATGCATGCATGCCTCCATATATTTATGCACAGGTATTTTCTGAGCATCCACCCAGGACCATCTCATTGGTTGGATCCTGTTTATACAAAGATACCCACAGAGTTTAGGCTCTGAGGCCCCCACCATCTAGGGAGGGAGAAAAACACATGGACACATAAGCTCGGGCGTGATTCTGATGGAAGCCCTTACTGACATTGGCAGATGCACTTGGCCCCTGAGTCTCAGGTTTCTCACCCAGAGAATGGCAATAATAATTGCTATAGGCACCTATCATCCAGACCGATGGAAGTCACTGACGGATGAACATTCGCCCACCGCCTTGACTCATCAGTATAATCACACTAATATGTGTTTAGAGCCCACATGTGCCCGGCACTGTGCCAAGGGGGCCTCACTTGGATTATCTCATTAGACCCTCATGAAATCACATTCTAGCAGAATTACTGGCAACTGCTCACATTTTATAGATGAGGAAATTAGGCCTCAGAGATGTTAAATAAACTCGCTCAAGGTCACACGGCTAGTTAATGCTGGAGTCTAACTTCTGATCCAAATGACTCCAGGATCTGAGCCTTGGATGGCTGGGCTCTTCCCTTTCCCCCTCAACCCCTCCCGCCTCCCCTTATTTCCGCTATGACATTTATCACTCTCAATTTCATTGACTAAAACTCAATGACCTGCAGCAAACATTATTCTAAGGAACAATATTTGCACAATTTTCATATCTTTTTTTTTTAATTTATTTATTTGACAGAGAGAGATCACAAGTAGACAGAGAGGCAGGCAGAGAGAGAGGAGGGAAGCAGGCTCCCCGCTGAGCAGAGAGCCCGACGTGGGGCTCGATCCCAGGACCCTGGGATCATGACCTGAGCCGAAGGCAGAGGGTTTAACCTGCTGAGCCACCCAGGTGCCCCCACAATTTTCATATCTTAATGCAGCATCTTGCGCTTCCATAGAGATTTAAATCCCTAATGAAATTTTCTTGTCAAAATTCTTGCTGAAGGATCGTTTAATTTGCCGCACATGATATCCTCGAATGAATCTGTGCTCAGGGAATAAGCCTCCTTCTGACACCCTCCCTCTTTTTCCACCTCTCGCCCCTTTTTTCTCTCCCTTCTTCCTTCTCCTTTTCTCCCCATGTGCCGAATGACTGCTCTGTTTTAGTGAAATTGCAATTAACAGTGGCTTAGAAGCCTCTGCTGTTCTATTCTCCCTCAGGCAAGGCAGAGTTGATCTGAAATGTGCATCTCTCCAATTAATTAAAAAAATAAATAAATAAACCTCAGATTACGTGCATTTGGGGAGATAATGCCAGGATGTCACCATGAGAAGGCTCAGTGGTTGCTATGACCAGTGTCTATACCATGGTCCCATTGTGGATCCTCAGACCTACTATTCCAAAAACTCATTTTTTACCCCCAAAGAGCCTGTGGTTAACCCCACTCTGGAAGAACTGTATATTAAATTTATAAAGTGCCTTGATGTCAGGTTTTGAAAAAATATCTTTCGCACATAACTGATAGGTGAATTGAACCTTCACATGGGGTCAGTACGCAGAAGCCACAGTCTGATCACAAAGATGAATGGTAAGCATGGGTTCAGAAGGAGGGTGCTAAGAGGAAAAGACTTAGGTCAGGATCCAGAGGACATGACTGTCTGTGGAGGAGCCAGCACCAGTCTACGTAGCATACCGTACTGACATGTATTTGTACCCTGCCTCTCCCTGCTGCCAGCCAGCACTTGCCCATGGATAGCAGCAAGTAACCTCCAGGAAGCCCCACAGTCTTCTAGACAATTTCTAATTTAATTTCTTCAGAGCCGGTCCCCTTTTCTGTAACACAGGATCAACCTATAGAATCCTGCCCGGTTTTCTCTTCCTCACCACCTGCACCTAGCCAGATCAGGTACCATCTTCAGGCTTGAAGCAGAACCAGATGGTACTGAAGAATCATAAGCTGGTCAAGGATTTAGGCAGACTTTTTCCT